GTCAGCTTCGGATGACACAGGGCTTTGAAATACTGAGCCCAGTGCAGGCACGAGGGACTGGCATGCTCCAGGAGGTCCTCGTGAGAGCCCAGTGACACCTCCCTGCAAAGCCAACACCCAATGGCTTTAGACAAGCTGCTTTGTCGCACAGAGCTGACCTTGCTCCACGCTCAGCCAGGGGAAAAGATGCTGCATCAGCTCCAACCTTCCTGTCCGCCTGTGCTTTCCCGATACATTTACTCTGTGCAGGCCTGTGCTGGACGCTGCAGATCCAGAGATGAGAGATGGGGCCCTGCCCTTGGGAGAGGCACAGTGCACCTGGGGCAGCCGGATGAGCGGGGGATCACGATGCCCCGGTGTGGGACCGACCGCGCAGCCGGGGAAACAGGCCAAAGTAGGCTCACTGCACCTGCTGCCCAGGCAGAAACTGTAGCCGCCAACAGGGGGCAGGAACTGAGCATATTCTGGGTTTTCGTACATTGTTTCATTTTGTCTTCACCAAGTGGTGAGGTTATCACCATTTCACAGATGGGGGCCAGAGGCTCCATTAGTTGTCAAGGTCACAGAGCTTGGAGACGGCCGAGCAGAACTCCTGCGTTGGCCCAAGGGATTCTGAAGTCCGTGCCCCTAGCCCACTAGCACGCTGAGAGTGTGTGTGCGTCACAGTGTGTTGCCAGTAGGGGAGCCAAAAAGGGGGGCAGGAGGCTACTGCAGGCAGAGGTGAGAGCCTGCTGCATTTAAGGACTGAGGGCCAAGGGGTGATGGCGGGTGCGGAGGCAGACACAAAGGGCCAGGTGCTCCGTGACCTTCTCGTGAAAGAGCTGAGGTGAGCAAACTCACAAAGGGGTCTGAAAGTGAAATGCCTCTGGGCCTTCTGTAAAGGTCATCCCGCTGCCCTAAGCTGCCCATTCAGAGGACATTCAGCAACAGGCCAGGGGACCATGGCCGAATCCTGACTCCTACCCGGGTTCTAACTGCTCAGGGGGACTGGCCCAGTGGGACAGGGAGCGTACCCAGGTGTCGCCAAGGGTAATCCGGGAACCCAGCATTGTCCCCCTGGTCTGTGTATGGAGGGCACTCGGGCAAAGGCTCCCTGTGGCTCACACAGAGCAGTGGCCCCTCATGGAGCTCGGAGAAGGAAGAGCCACGCTGGGCCTGAATGGAATTCTAAAGATGCCCCTGGCTGGCTCCGTCAGTACAGCATGCGACTCTTGATCTCAGGGTCGGGAGTTCAAGCCCCACATGGGCCGTGGAGCCTAGTTCTAAAAAAATTAAAAAATAAAGATGCCCCAGCATTCCTGTGGGTCATCTGCTCATGCAAACACTAATCGAGGTGCAGCTGTAAAGGGACTTTGCCGATGGAATCAAGTTTACTACTAGGTTGACCTTAAAATAGAGAGATTATCCCGGCTTATTGGTGGTGCCCAATGTCATCACATGAGCCCTCGAAGACAGAAAAGAAGGCAGAAGAGAGATGCAGTCGAATGGTCAGTCAGAGACCAGAAAGCCTGAGAACTCCATTCACCGTGGGTGGCTTTGAAGGGGGCCACACGCCGGGAAATGCGGGTGGCTGACAATGTCCCCAGCCCACAGCTAGCGAGGACATGGGAATCTCAGTCCCACAACTCCACAGGAACAAATTCTGCCAACGAGCCTAATGAACTCGGAGGCAGATTCACCACCGGAGCCTCCAGAAGGGAATGCCGCCCGGCAGACACCCTGATTTGGGCCTTGGGAGCCAGCCGAGCCGCCCTATGCCCCGACTTCTGACTTACAGAAACTGTGGGATAATATATGGGCGTTTTTTTAAGCTGCTAAGTTTGTGGCAATTTGTTACGACAGCATTGGAAACGAATGACTAATTCATGAGCTATCTGAGGACAGACCACCCAGGCCCAGGAGGGGCCGGCACAGGGCCTGGGGTGTGGGCAGGCTCCGGGTGTCGACTCCACACTGCTCTGAGCAGAGGGAGGAAGGGAACCACCGGATCTGGGGCAGGAGCATCACGGTCACCAGTAGGGCCAAATTATTCACTCATTCACTCAACCAGCATTTCTCAAGCCTGTGCTATGACCTAAAAACTGGCCGGGTGTCTGGAACTCAAATCCCATGAGGGGAAAGATGGCCAAACAGACTCAAGCCAGTGAAATGAGTCCTGTGACAGGAACAAAGTCCCTGATGCTGTGGGAGGTCAGAGAAGGGTCACCATTCCCCCAGGGGTCGACAAGGTTTCCCAAGGCCTGAAGCTGTCTTGGGTCTTGGTGGCCAGGAAAGAAAGAAGTTAGGTAGGGGTGGGCCACCCTGGGAAGAGAACAGCACAGCCGTGGGATGCAGAGATCTTGCATGGCCCATTCGGGACGGACCGGGGATGTGGCAGACCACAGGAAAGGGACCTGGCCAGCAGGTGGGCCAGGGCAAGCTCAGGAGGGCCCTGAGGTCAAAAAGGGAGGATGGACTGAGGATGCTAAGCAGGGGGGGAGATTTTTTTGGGGGGGGGAGGGGACACATCTCAGGACTCTATTCACCCTGACTTGGGATAGGCAGGCTGAGCTGGTGGACTAGAGCACCCACGTGCCCTCTGTAAATGAATGAACGCACACTTTGCTTTGTGTACCGGCCTCACAGGTGGCTATGTCATCAGTACCTGGCACCTAACAATCCATGTTAGCTTTCAGGGTTAACATAAAGACAAGGGCAAGGCCCTGAGACACGGACCGCATCAGAGAAAACAGCAGGGGTGTCCAATGTGCAGCACTGGGAGTCCAGGCCTGAGCGCCCAGGAAAGCCAGCTGAGGGGACGGCACGCAGCAGCTCCCCACCTGCGGCTTTGGCACAGAGCTGGAAGCAGGCTCTGACGTCCACCAGTAATGGGGCAGCAGCGGCAAGCGGTGCAGTGACCGGCCACCTCAAAACTGCCTTCCTGGATGAGAATCCGGTGCTTGTCCTAAAGGAGGAGCTCTAGAGATGGGAAAACACACTCCAAACTCCTGTCTTCACCACAGAGCTGGCACCGGAGATCCTGAGGTCATCGAGCTACAGGGAGGAGGCTGGGGAGGATTTCTGACTGCTCTAACAAAGTATAGGGGACGTGGCTCTAGCAAGCCCTCCCCTCTTCAGGCTTTACACTCCCCAGTGTGGTAATATTAATTGCTCACGTTTCTTTAAATGCAAAGTGCTTTCCATGTATTGATTCATCTGATCCTCAAAACAACCCTCCATGTTTTTCTTAGCCCATCTCAGAGCTGGACGGGAACAAAGCTTTTGAATTTTAAATTGTTTTAACCAGCAAATCCCTTCTTGAAAGGAAATAGTAAAAGAAAAACCAACATGAGAAACAGAGTAGAGCAACTCTGGATGGGACAAAGGGTAGAGCCCCACTTAGCTAACATCCCCCCACAATGACTCTGAGGGGTTCTTTAGAAACCAGGGGCCCTGAAGACACATCTAGGACTGGCAGGGCTCACTTGGCTGGGAGTCCCTCCCCCAGGACCACCCGATTGCCCCTAGCTGAGGTGGGACCTGGTGAAGTTATAGGGAGATCTCTGAGGGCTAGGATCGTCCACATCACACCATGCTTCAACAGCATCCTGTTAATGCTGACCTGGAAAGGCCAGCTCCTGCATCTGGGCTGTGGCCCCTACCTCTCTCGGGAAGTCCTTCCTGGTTACCCTACAGAGACCCTGACTGACACTAGGCACGTTCTTCTGATGACCTTCCCCTCAGAGCCCACTGCTTAAGCATCGACATTCCATTCCCATTGCAGGGGATGGACTGCGTGGGACGGGTGGGTGTCTCAAAGACCGGAAGGATAAGCAATCGGGGCTCTGCTGGGCAGGGAGATGAGTGGAAACGAGAGGGAGGAGTACTCCAGGGTCTGTAAAGTGGGCAAGAGAGAGGGGAGTGCTCCAAATCACGGACCTGCTGCAACAGGGCTGGCCCTTGGAAACCACTCAACAGCCCAGGAAATTGAGGCCGAGATAGACCAGGGTGAATCAGCAGAGGTCTCTCAGCTGGTGGGTGGCAGAGCCTAGACTAGAACCCAAATTTCTTGACCTCTCTGGTCCAGTGCCCGTTTCCCAACACCGCTCTGTGAGAATCAGATTTAAGCAGGGCCAAATAAGTAAAACTGAGGATTCGGGACTTAAAAGTCGAGAGCCCTGAATCTGAGTTCCATTCTCTGCTCTGAACCTGAAAGGTGATCTGGGGCAGGAAGCACCTGCTCCCGGGGACTTTACGTGGGTGCCCCACAGGGATCTAACACCCTTCGCAGCACCTGCCCTCCACCTCTGGGGTGAAAGGGGCGGTATGAGGGGACCGCCGCCGCCTAGGCACTGTGCCTCAACCATTCCACAGGCAGCCTGAGAACCCGCATTGCAGAGTCCAGCCCTGGAGGTCATCTGTTCCAGGCATAAGCCCCCCACCCCACCCCGCGCGGGCCCCCCCCCTCCTCGTCGGCACAGGGTAAACCCACCGCCTCACTGCACACACACCAAGCGCACTCACGTCTCCACACAGGCACGCCCCGCCCTGTGCATTCGTGGCTACCGGCACCCACCCCGTCGCTCCCAAACTCCCACACCCGCCCGGCCACCCGCCTTCGCTCGTGCCCAGCTGCGCGCTGCCAGCGCCGGACCTCACGACGGTGCCCCATCCCAGGCGTCAGTTGCCGGCGAAGGGAGCGCCCCCCCTCCGGCGGGCCCCGCGCCCGGCCCCGCCCCTGGCCCCGCCCCCGCCTGGGCCCGGCCCCTCGGCCGGCCCGGAGGATGTGAGCTCACTCCCGCCTCCCCGCTGCCGGCGCCGGCAGGAAGCGTCCTCCCGAAGTCAGCCAACCGGCCGGCCGGGGTGTCAGCGGCGCGCCGGACCCCGTTCCTCCCGGCGCCACACGCAGGAGCCGCTTTCCGGATGGGTACGGAATGAAGGCGGGCGGCGGGGCCGAGGCAGCGCCACGCTCCTAGACGCCGCGCCGCCCGGGGCCCAGCGGGTCGCGGGCAGGGCGCGGGCGCGCACGCGCACGCCCACCCCCGCCGCGCTTCCGGCCGGGCCACGTGATCGCGCGCGCACGTGTTCCGGCCCCTCGGCGCGGCGGGTCGGAACCTCCTCCCGGTCCGGCCCGGCCGCTGCCCACCTAGACCTGCGGCAGGCCGGCCGGGGAGGCGGCGGGCCCGGGAAGCGGCGAAGACGCGGCGCCCGCCGAGTCGGGCGGAGCAGCGGGCCCGGTGGGCTGGCAGCGGCTTCGCCATGAACCCCAGGGGCCTGTTCCAGGACTTCAACCCGAGTAAGTTCCTCATCTACGCCAGCCTGCTGCTCTTCTCGGTGCTGCTGCCCCTCCGCCTGGACGGCATCATCCAGTGGAGCTACTGGGCCGTCTTCGCCCCCATATGGCTGTGGAAGCTGCTGGTCATCGCCGGCGCCTCGGTGGGCGCGGCCGTTTGGGCCCGCAACCCTCGATACCGCACCGAGGGGGAGGCCTGCGTGGAGTTCAAAGCCATGTTGATCGCCGTGGCCATCCACCTGCTGCTGCTCATGTTCGAAGTCCTGGTCTGCGACAGGGTGGAGAGGGGGACCCACTTCTGGCTGCTCGTCTTCATGCCACTTTTCTTCGTATCCCCAGTGTCCGTGGCCGCCTGCGTCTGGGGCTTCCGACATGATAGGTCGCTAGAGCTGGAGATCCTGTGCTCTGTCAACATCCTGCAGTTTATCTTCATCGCCCTGAGGCTGGACAGGATTATCCACTGGCCGTGGCTGGTGGTGTTCGTGCCCCTATGGATTCTCATGTCGTTCCTCTGCCTGGTCGTCCTCTATTACATCGTCTGGTCCCTCCTGTTCCTGCGCTCCTTGGATGTGGTCGCGGAACAGCGGAGGACGCATGTGACCATGGCCGTCAGCTGGATAACGATTGTCGTGCCCCTGCTCACTTTTGAGGTTCTGCTGGTTCACAGATTAGATGGCCACAATACATTCTCTTACATCTCCATATTTGTCCCCCTTTGGCTTTCGTTAATAACTTTAATGGCCACGACATTTAGGCGAAAAGGAGGCAACCATTGGTGGTTTGGTATTCGCAGAGATTTCTGTCAGTTTCTGCTTGAAATTTTCCCATTTTTAAGAGAATATGGGAACATTTCCTATGATCTACATCATGAAGAAAGTGAAGATGCTGAAGAAACCTCAGTTCCAGATGCTCCTAAAATTGCTCCGATGTTTGGAAAGAAGGCCAGGGTGGTTATAACCCAGAGTCCTGGGAAATATGTTCCCCCGCCTCCCAAGTTAAATATTGATATGCCGGATTAAACTTCTGGAGAGCACCCATCTGTGGATCGGGAACCGTATACACACGCAAAATCCACCTTACTTTTGCCTCTGTGTTCATCCATCCCAAACTTGGAACTGAAAATAGGCCCCAAACACCATCATCTCATGCCTTGTTTGAGATTGATGCCTGTCAGTCACTCATCAGTATGCACCATAGATGTAGGAGGTTATTTTAATACATGGCTCTGTGTATGTGTGCGCATGCGTGTGTGCGTGTGGTGTGTGTGTGTGTGTGTGTGTGTGGTGTATACGTGTGAGAGAACTTGCATTCCAGGCTAGTGTTTAAAAGCTAGCTTGGGAGGAGTCAGTTGAATAATGGGTCCTCAGATGAAATGAATACACAGCTGGGTTTTGTTCTGTTTTGTTTTTAATGATACCATGACTATCGAAAGTATTGTTTCAAAGTATTTTTATATACTACTAGTCTATAGTTGTATTTCAGATTGTACCTGTTGGGACATAATAGCAAATGTAAAGAATTCTCTTTCCCTTCACTTGTTTATAAGCCTTAGAGTTGTTGTTTTTAGTGTTCCTCCTGTTAAAATAGTTTTTCTTTGGGCTTTGCTGATACTGGTCTTTAATATCATAAAAGGTGACTTTTTCTAATGAAATGAATCCATGCATATATGATATTTATATGAATATTTTAGCAATGTATTTTGTTGAATTCTAGTTCTGTGCATTACAATGTATTACGTGACAGTATTTTTTTAAGTTTCTATGTGAAGATGTATGTCTATTGCAGCTGTCCTTAAAGATCGCTTAAAACATTAATATGTACCCGGTATAGGATCTTCTCAAAGTACCAGGCATGAATATAGGGATCAAAAATCCCATGGCTCTTAATAGTCAGGAGTTAGATGACTCAGTCTACACGGTTTTAAGGTCTCTCTTAGTAGAGGGAGGAGCCACCATCCTTTGGGAACAGGTGACATGCTCCGGTGTGATACCAGGCCATAAAGCGATACTGTTGATTTAGCACCTTCTAATTTTCCAGCACAGGTAGTAACCTCTCTTCAGGAACAACCAAAATAAGCAACAAGTGATTTGTTCATTGCTAAGAGTCTTAGAATATTACTTGGCAATAATAAAAAAAAAAATGTTACTTGTCATCAGAATGCTGGAAAGAGTAGCCTTAACCAAAACACGGCCAACAGGATCAGGTATTATTTTGAGGTCAAAACGTTTTGATCTGTCAGCAATAGGGCAAGAAGAGGTTATTTTTAAAGTAAGTACTAGGTACTTATTTAGGTACTAGTGGTACACCAGGGAATCCGAAAAGCAAAAACCAGATTCTGGGAGAATAATGTTCTTCTGACTGAGAACAAATAAATACTTTCAAAAGGAGATTGAAATAGAAAAGGGTAGTGATATTATTATCAGAGAAAAGGAAGGGAATCCATTTTTATCATTAGCAACTTAGTAAAAATGATCTAAATTGCTAGCCAAGTATTGCAAGTCAATAACTTGATTTACCCAGCGAGGGGCCATGCCAGCAACAAAAGCTAGTCCTGGGAGCCTGGCTCCCTGAAAGCCTGAGGACGCCACAGGTCAGTTCAGTCCCCTGGACTGTGCCAAGCTCTATCGCTGTCTCTCTCACACAGACACGCAAGCACTGTCCGTTTACCCCAGCCCTCGGAATGTGGGAAGCAGCTCTGGGTAGCAGTAACATTTTGTCAACAGGGATTCATTCGTTTCTCAAATATTTATTGGGACCTACTCTGAGCCAGCCGTGATTCAAATGCCATCCCTCCCCACACTCACGAAGTACACAATCAAAAGTGGCCACGAGAAGATAGGGCTCATCACAGCAGCCTACCTGTGGGAGGGAACAAGCCAAGAGCGGGATATGCAAAATGCCACCTGGAACTTCAGGCCCCTCTTAGTTTTCAGGAGCCTAGAGCCCCTGATCTCGCCTCCACTCCCAGACAATATCCCAAAGACATTGACTTGCACTTGAGTTGAGATTCAGGAGTGGAGGAGCAGGTTGCTGGAGGAATCCAGGGTAGGGCTTGGGGGATCCCAGCCCCTCCTGCCTACAGTTTCAGGCTAGGAGCTTCTCGACATGGGGTGCAGTCCCTCCCCACCGCGATGGGTCCTTCCCACGCTCACCCGGCCCCCCCCAGCGTTAGAGAGCCAGGGTCTGAAAGTGATCAGCCTTCTCCCCCAGGTGGGCCATCCCCTGTTGTGCTGGCCTCAAAAGCATTAGGTAAAAACAGTGGGAGTGACAAGTTGTGGAATGTCAGTCTGTAAAAAATCTCTCTGCTGTGCCTGGGGACTTACCAATTGCCTTTTGTAACACAGACTATCCACAGTATGTCGTACGTGTCAAATTCTGTAACTGCAGTTTCTCCTGAAGGATGATGTATTCGCTTTTGCTTAGAAATCTCCACGGCTTCCGAGTACAGACTCCTGCTCCCCGGGCTACAAGTCCGCTGCAGGGGTGATGGTGCAGGCATGGTTCTGATGCGGGTGTTGGCTCCACAGCGCGCCCCGGATTCTATCCTGGGTCCCCGGCAAAGGAATAATGTTTCCTGGGGCACGTTCTTCTTTCCCCTGGCAGAAGCACACGAGGCCAGGCCAACCCCCCGCCAGCACCACACGGCCCCTGCGCCCCCGTGGTGTATGTTGGGGGTACTGGGGGTACAGGTTCCGTGGTGGCCGAAGCACAAAGCCAAGCCAGGCCCTCGGCGGGGTGGGCCAGCACACACCCAGGGAACCACAACAGGCTGCACTGATGTCGCAACATAGTTTTAAAGACTGGAAAGGAATCACAACATCTGTAGTAGATCGTGAATGATTTTCCTCTGCTGTTTTACAAACATCCTGTGATTTTCAAAAGTTCATTGTTTCTAATAAAAATGAGCGAATCTGTTTGGAGAGGGGGCGACAAGGCATTTGAGGGGAGACGAGGAAGACCCTGCGCCTAGACCCCTCCGCAAACTAGGACGAGGCCCTGGAGGCTCCACCCAGGACGGTTCTGCAACCTTGCTGTCCGCTGTCCTCGGAGGACGGCCCTGGGGCGGTTTCTGCAGGATGCTTTGGAAGTGGCCAGGCGGGAGGTGCTGGGAAGAAGCAGAGTCTAGAGGGGCCTCGGCCGCACACGAGATAGAAGAGGCGGGCCCTCCCATCTGCCTGCTCCTGGGTTCGGGGTGGCAAAAGGCGACAGGCCAGACTCCGCACAGGGAACTGTCAGGAGCAAAGGGTAGTTCCGCGCTGACCAGAGGCCTGGGATCCAGTGGGTGCACAGGGGTCAAGGGAGATTGTGCTGCCCCAAACCCAGGCCGGGGTGCATCACGGGACCTACTTGGCCACCTGACACTGCCAACAACATAGTACATGCCACCAGCACCCCCCCACCCGACCCTCTGCCACAAGTAATCCTTGACTGTCTCTGTGGGAGGGAGATGATTGCTTTCCTCTCCTTCAGAGACTCTCTGGCCCCTTTAGCTTTAGTAGGAGGGAGGCCTCTGCCAGAACCCATTCAGTAGAGGGTTCGCCCAAAAAGGAAGGGCGCTCAGATGCTGGGTCACCAAGGATGAGGACCAAAGTGCACCAATCCCTCGGCGGTCTGACATACACCCTCCCCCATGCTTACTACCGACCGGCCCCATCTAGCCTGCTCCGCCTGTGCCCCCAGCAAGGCAGTGGCTCCTTCCCCAGGGAAAAGAGAGGTGATCCCCGACCCCGATCCCGATCGCTGGCTGCTTCACCCATCACTTCATCCAACCCGCAATCCAGCATCCTTGGAGGTGTCTCACCCTCCTCTGGTTTGTCATGTTCCCATCTATTCTAGAAGGTGTGGATTGAAGTTAACGACCACGGCAGGGTCCCCTCCTTTGCCAACCGCACCTCTGGGAGAAGCCCATTCTGCTCCTGTCTCCCACCGAGCGGCCACAGACGGGGTGCAGGAACAGACATGGGAGGGCAGTTGCCTTCCTTCTGCGCAGCCAGAAGATTTTGCAAAATGCAAAATCAGTATCACTCCTCTGCTCAGCCACTTTTTTTTTTTGTCTTGGAAAATACGGTTTTCATTAAAGGAAGTTAACATAATGGATTTATTCTTTTTACATGAGTTAATATTTTTAAAAGCTACTGGCTTTAATTTCTTCTATGCTAAATGTTGATATAACTCACTTAAACCAAAGCTCCTTGGGGTCCTCGACCATTTTTAAGAGTGTGAAAGGGGGTCTGTGACCACAGACTTTGAGAACAGCCACCCTATGTTACAGTGGGGGAAAGAGAGGAACGAAAATTAAAACTGGGTGAAATACATTAAAATCGGTATGATATAGCATGGTTGCAAAATAACAGACACTGTCCTTTTTAAAAAAAAATTTTCAGAGAGAGAGACTCTCAAGCAGACTCCACGCTGAGCGCAGAGCCCGATGCGGGGCTCGATCTCACATCCCTGAGATCACGACCTGAGCCGAAATTGAGAGTCACACTTAACAAACTGGGCCACCACCCAGGAGCCCGCAGATGCCGTCCTTTGTGCAACAGATCACAGGATGGCTTCTCCCCTCTGCGACTCTCCACACTCCCTTTGTCCTCTGCAGGCCCCTGGTTTAGTTGGGTTACTTAGCGCAGTGTGGTAATTCACGTTCAGCCCTGCAGGGCCAGAGCCCTTTGCTGGTCCTGCTGGTGGCTTTCATTTCACTAGAACTAAGAGGAGCCTAGGGGACCGCCCGGATTCTGGCCACAAGCCTCTCTCCATTTTGTGGCAGCGACACCATTTGCCCTCGGTAGTCCTTCCAAAGGGCAGTTGTGTTGGCTAGGGTGCTTGATCCTGACCTCCAGGAGGAAATGGGGATGGACGGGTTCACAGGCCACCTTCTGCCTGCGTTTGCAGGATGTCCTGTTTGTTCAACAGCTAGCGGAAGGGCAGGGCAGGGGAAGTGGGTTTTGAAGACTTTCTCCACCGCAGCTCAGCTCTCTGCTCCCCACAGCCCCTGCCTCCTCCCTCCCCTGTGTCTGTGTGTCCTGCCTCTCCCCCTGCACCAGGCCTCAGCCACAGCCGCCCCCCGACCCCGACCTGGGGCCTGGAGCTCTCTCCTGGGACATGAACAACACTCCTGTGCAGAATCTTGGGCCCCACGTCCATCCCAGCTCTTGCCCCCCAAACCCCTACCCCTGCCCTCCTGGACAGGTGCCTCCCCCGTCCCTCCCACGAGCGACACCAGCCCTCCTTCCTCTTCCCCAAGCCATGGCCCGCCTCCCCTTGGCCCGAGCCACTCCTGGGGCTGGAACGTGACCAGCCACATGCGGCCAAAGTTCCACTCCTTGCAGCCGCCCTGTCATTTTGACCTTGCCCTTCCAGGTTTTAACCAGGGACACTGAGTAGGGTGGGAAGTTCAAAGACTTGCCCACCAGCCTGAGACCTTTCCAGGAAGCCAGCCCCCACCTTCCTCCCCCACGCACACTGGGTAACCAGCGGACAATGAGAACAAAGTCTGGGCCCCCTACTCTTGGTGGCAGTTGCCCCAGGCCAGTGCCGATGTCCATCCGGGACTGCCCCTGACCTGCCCCTCAGGCTGCCCTGTCCCCCCACTTCCCACTGGGCAGCATGTTTAATGACATGTCGGCAGGGAGGGGGGCTTTGCTGTCCTGATCATTTAACATTGCTTAAGCCTCCTTTCTCTACTCAAGGCCTGGCTTGTCCTTCTCTCAGTCCACCTCCGCTTAGCCTCCCGCTCTGTCCTTGGTCCCTGACAGATT